TGGAAGTTTAGTATGATATGATTGTTGTTCAAACAAGTCACAGGAACAAAAATAGAAATTTTGCATCAGGAAATGAGAAGTAGCTTTACAATTTTAGCCTGTAACCTTGAAATAAAAAATAAACCAAAACTAGTCACACAATTTGAAAGCTTTTAGCTTTATTTTCTATAAGAAATGAATTTCTTCACTGCATTTCTTCCTGGAGCTCATCTTTAACCATTCAATTCCATAACAAATGCAATTTGAAATTTTCCCTCAATGGGGAAAAACGTCTAGAAGTCCAGCCACTAATCCCTGCATCTCCCATGATTTTGTGAAATAAATGTACCAATCTGAGAATCCATTAAACAACACACAAAGATCTTTGTTGGAAATAGGAGTTTATTTCTTAAAGAAGGGAAAGCATTAGATTCAAGAAACACCATCCTTTTAAGGCTCTTACGGCTGCCAAAGCTCTGGGCTCAAAAGGTTAAACAAAATGTTAAGATTCCAAAATAGTTAAGCTTTCCAATTTGGATTTAGCATGAAATTCTCAAATAGAGTAGTTAGAACAGAGAAATTATTTGATTGCTTGGAGATACTTTTAATTTAGGGATTGGGCACGGACTGAATTTTATCAAAAATTTTTGAGAAACTTGAACCTTTCGGAAAAGTTTTGTGATCATAATTTATAGACATGAAATAAAATGTCTCCATTTCATTTATGGAATTTGCATTTCTTTATGAGACTATATGCCATTATAATTTTTTTAAAAATTACCAAATTTTGATTTTAAATTAACATTAACCATGCAGGGAGTAATTATTAATTGTAATTCTCTAAATATTCATGATTACTACTCAAACTAAAGGAACTATTGCTGATTTCTTCTAAAGCTCTTAAAAATACTGCATAAACACTTTTTCCTCTTCCCCTCCCAATGACGGCCTCCACCTATATATAGATGTCAGCCTTTACTAAGGCAGGAAGTTGTGATTTCTTTATTATGAAAGCACTTTAATGTAAGCCACCATTGCCTCTCGTTAAAGGACACAAATTACATACATGCTATCTCAGGGATTCAAAACTGGGCCCTTCGGTACGGCAGTCAGAGTTACTCACCACTTTCTGGTCTGGGCAGTAAACATTGCACAATCACGAATTGTTTGATTTAAAAAAAAAAATAAATCTTCTCAGGTCTATTCATTTTTTTTTAAGAAATATTTACAATGTTATTATTCCAGTTGATATTTGTTACAATAACTATTCCATAAAACCCATAGTTAATGATACTAACTGTTCCAGCACAAAAGGCCCTCGAAGCCACATTAAAGAAGTTTTTGCTAGAATGATCAGACATTATAATGTTCTTTTTCTGTTGGATGTGAAAAGCCATTATAATGAGCATCATTGGCATTAAAATTATAGAAAATATATTTTCCTCAATTGTTAATTATCTTATCGCACTGAATAAGATTTCATTATCATTAAAAAATTATGTTTGTTATTAGGCAAAGAACTTAGGTAACTTTGTTAAAATTAAAATATTTAAATAAGTATTGGAATTAATATGAATCACAAAATTTTCTTCATTAGCTTGCGGTCCCTGAAAGTCACTGTCTCCAAGCCTTTATGATGTGCCAGACGACATGGTCTGACATCACAGATGCAATAATTCATTCTATTTGACAATGCAAGAAGACATAATTTCACGACTAGTGTTAAGAGATTTTAGCGTTCTGCACTGTGTCTGTCGACATAGTCTCTCCATTTCAGGAGGGCTGATGAACCAATGATCTTGTTCTCCTTCTGATATTGCTCCAGATCTAATGAATTAAAGCATATAAAATACAACAGAAAAAGTAAGGAGGCATGGCTAATCGAGTCTGCCAATTGTTTCCATTGGAACAACACACCAGAATGCTCTTGAACTCTTGACTAGAGAGACCCTTGTTAGCAGGTTCCTCGTATCACGAGGACTATACTTCACTAATAACTGTTCTATGCTATCCCTGAAATATATATATATATATGAAGAGCTTCTTGTAATTGCAATAAATATGTTTTGTGTTTAAAAATGCAGTAAGTATTATGTAACTTCACAAAAAATGTACTAATCATTATATGGAGTCAAAAGCGCTACCTGCCGCTGGTACTCACAAGCTAATCTAGTAACTGGAAAAAAACAACATAAGACTACCTTATCAATTATTCTAGTAATTAGGAAGAAAAAAAGTAAGAACTATGAAAAAGAGAAAAAAATGGAATAAAACAGAATTTGCAATGCTTTGTTTATTTTTTAAATGCTATTCAGTATTAGACTGCATGAGAACAAAAACCATACTTTAAAAGCATTAACTGATACAGCCAACGATGTCTCAAGCTTTATCTTAACCCTAAACAAACTCCTTTGTGCGCATGGGAAAATATCTGCCATGTGGCAATAATGAAAACACATTTTTCAGATATCTTTACCATTTAATGAATTACAGAGGGTCCTAATGCCCCACTCCTTCGTGTTAGCAGCCTTTGTCACAGGCTTGTCTCCAGAAGCTCGGAAACTGCTTTCACAATAAGTCTGATAGTCAGATTATCACCAGTGTAGAATCACTAATGGCTTTCATGATTAATGACTAGAAAGGCTTTGGATGGCAAGGAATTAACAATATACAACTTGTTTTGTATTAAAATTTGCTGTCAATTGACAATTGTGCTGCTTTGTTTTTAGGTAGTTCCTGATATTACTCATCTGAAACTACAAAAATTAAGTATTTGAGTCGGATAGACATACTATCGTGTGATGAAACCGGAATGAAGAACGGAATCCAAAAACTGCCGACAGTTAAGCAAAAAGGTGAAAACATAATGGTATGGGGATATTCTGTTCTGCTGTCCCCCAGGATAGAAAATTTAGTTTTTTTAGAAAATAATGCAGATCAGTAAAACATATAAATACTCATAATAAAAACATGAAAACATTTGCAAGAAAACTTAATATTCAAAATAAATTCAAGTTTTATCAGGATAATGATCCTAAATATTCAGCCCTAAATGTTTGTTTGTGATATACAACGGTCCTGAAATTATCAGAGCTCCAAATTCTCCATACTTAAATCTTATGAAACATGTACGAAATAACTTAAAAAGAATAGGGAAATTTTGAAAGCTCTAAAAGCAATTGTTACCTAGGTATTGCAGCGAGTTTCGAGAAATTGACGACCTGACAATTTCTGACACCAAAGCTTAATTGCAATTAACAATTTGATAACTTGCTCAACTAACATTTTTACTCTAAAGGAGATTTTATTTGTCATCAGCTTACAACATAATGCCGTATAAATTAAAAAAATTCTAAACTTCAACTTTTAGAATCCAAACATTTTCTGTGGTGCCAATCTGTTAAAGCTCACATAAAAATTAAATTATCGATGCAGAAAAATTAAAATACTAGACGGTTTACCACTGCTTGGCGCGTTGCTTGGAATGTAAGGAACCAATGTGTCTTCAGTGCTTCTCAAAAAATGTGTTTTGACTGCATATCATCTTATGACTCATCCTTGTAAACAAAGATATACTAATTTATTATTTATTAATAATTAAATTTTTTGTTGTAGAATTATGGTTAAATTGACAGTAATACTTAATAAAGTCACATATTTTCATGCATGTTTGATAAAATCTTTGTTCCTTAAATTGAAAAATATAGGGGCAAGTGCAGAATCACCCACTGCTTGGCGCGTTTTTAAGAATTGCACATACTCGGTATCCATGTATACATTGACTTATTTTCACTTAAAAAATCCCAGAATTGCAAAAGAATGGCATTGCGCAAACTCTTGACTTTATCCATATACACATCGACCAATTCTCACTTAAAAAGTCAAAGAAAATTGACAAAAATCTAATTCTTCTTACTCTTGTAAAAAGTGCCAAACAAACGCTAAACTGTCATTTTTTATATGAAAATAACTGTGTAAAATTAAATTATTATGTCCAAAATAATAATTAAATGTTTAAATGAATTAGAATTCCATAAATATTCATAAACTATCTAGACCATTCCTTAAGAAGACATAAATGTATGTATTTTTACGCGTTTCCTTAAAGCTGTCTCTGAGACCATTCGCAGTGGTAATACCAAAAAAATTGTCAGTTAAAGGTTAATTTACTATTCATAATCATTTACCACCCACTAAATGAATAACTTTTCAAACTTACTGAGGAATAGTACAACTTAATTAATTTAAGAAAGAAGTTCTAAGAGTATAGCTTCAGAGCTTAAATTGCGGCATTTCTTAGTTTTTGGGATAAATCATAATTCTATATGGAGCGCAACGGAGTTAATAATTATTATTTTTTTAATTATTACATACGAAGGCTCTGGCACTTCTGCTATGTAACTGAACAACAATTTCAGTAGAAATCTGATCTCGAAAACTTTATTTTTAGCAATGAAATTAGGTAAAATCCTAGTATACCGTGCAGCCTTGGCGTGATTTTGGAAATTATCGCCAACACCAAAAATGATCCAAAGAACGTCTATATACTATGTGTGTACATACATAATATATACTATATATAACTATATATATTCTTTGAATGACCTGTTTACTACTCATCGTACATGTCCCGTTTTTACTGCTCATCATAAAATCGCCAAAAGTAGCCAAATCTCGTGTGCACCGGATATTCAACCTGAAAGCATATTCAAAATCGCTTATTAAATTTTAATTAACCTCTGTACATTTTATGTAATTTCAATCATTTTAAAGTGTATTAATTAATTAATTGAACAATATTTATGAATTATTTAACAATAAAAATATTGATCATCAATATTTAATTAATAATTATTATTTAATCTGGTAACATTTAACTATTTAATTTTTTTAATTATTATTGATTTTAATGGCCATTTTATTTATTTATTCACTCTTGTTCCGCTTTCTTGGCGGTCTTGCATAGGGCTCCGGCGCTTCTAGCTTTAGAAATTAAGATCTGTATAGCTTTTATTACTTACTTATGCACTTAACAAATCACGCACTAATATTTCTCACAGATCATAGAGTTAACACGTGGGAATCGCAGTTTCGTTGCTCGATTGTTGTTAAACAAAGTAACAAATTTTCTCACACAGCTTGCGTAATATTTATTGTTACAGAGAAATCAAAAGGCTATCAACATGATTTCCGTTAGTTTGGGGCACAAAAAATAAATCTAGACCGCAGTCGTTTTGATTATCATTCTTGATGAATAAAAGTAATTTTTTGTCTGTAGGAACAAAAGGGTGATATATTGGGTCCTCTTCAATATGCAGACATACTAGCAACTTAAAGCAATTTCCATGATTTTATTATTTATGAATTTTTTATGCACTTAAATATAAAAGCTCAGAGATAACACGAGTTTGTCATGAATCTTTTATTCCTAATGAAATAAAAAGACTTGTGAGAGAGAAAATCATGGGAGGATCGATATCGGAAAACCAGTCGGCATTCGGTGCTACGATCGTTAAAAGACTTTTTTTTTTGTGGTACTTATCAATACACGACAGGTGAAATACTTTAAAAAAAATGTAAGTACATAATTTTCTTTTACTTTATAATTGTATACTTCAATTTTCATTAAAAAATTAATACAATGCTTTCAAAAATTCCTGCGATATTTATTGCCACACATGTTTTAATGTTAAATAATTAAATCCTATAAAACTTATTTTAAAGTATTTAAGTAATATTTTAATTCTTTTAAACGTTGGTATGATGTTTTTAATTTGATATTCAATTTAAGTAATAGTTTAATCCAATTAAATGTTGGCGCCATGTTTTTATAGCGGTGTTTTTATTCTATTACAGTAGACTCCCGATTATCCGCGGACGGATTATGCGCGGAGCGGATTATCCCGCGCCTGCCGCACAAAGTTTTTTTTTTTTTTTTTTTTTTTTTTTTTTTTTTTTTTTTTTTACAAGCATAAAGCAAAGAAAATAAAAATGTTCACAAAAACTGAGCGAAACGTTAAATTTGCTAAACATCGTGCTTATTTATGGCAAAAATATCCCAGGCCTTCTCGGAATCTTCCCCTCAGCCTTCTTGGAACCTTCCCCGCGGCCTTCTCGGAACCTTCCCCTCTGATGAGTAAATGATTTCTTACTCACCCTTGCAGTGCGCGCTCCACCGCCCTCTCTCGTCTTAATCTTACTGACACGTCCAATTCCTCCTGCTCGCTATTGTTAGTTTAAGCCTGATAGTGTTTGCAAATCGGTCGGAGTTAATTTCTTACCTTTTATTGCTTTCAGTACTTGTGCTTTTTAGTTTTGTGTTTTTCGTTACCGATTTAAAATGTCAGGAAAACAAAAGAAGGTTGTGTTGACGATTGCGCAAAAACTAGAATTAATTTCAAAAGTAGCAAACGGCGATACAAGGCAGCAGATCGAATTGGATTAAGGAATCGCGGAAACAACAGTGCGTAACATTCTAAAGGAAAAAGACAAACTAGTGAACTTTTCATCAATGTCGGATAGTGCTTCCGTAATGAAAACGCGAAAAACCATGAAGGGTTCTACCTTTGATGAGCTAGACACGGTATTGACAGAGTGAATAGCTGAAGTTCGAAAAGAGGGTACTCCTGTAAATGGTCCTATCACACTGCTGCGAAGGCAAAAACCTTTTCTGAGTTATTAGGCCTGAAAGGAAATTTTGATTCGTCTTCTGGCTGGTTGACTCGTTTTAAGCAGCGACATGGAATCCGAGAAATTGGACTTCATGGGGAGAAACTTAGTGGTGACCAACAAGCAGCCGAAGATTTCCATCATGAATTTGAAGAATTTGCTTTAAAAGAAGAGCTATCTTTTGAACAAATTTACAATGCCGAAGAATCGGGACTTTTGTGAAAATGTCTTCCCACTCACACTTTAGCATCTGAAAGTGAAAGTAAAGCGGCGGGTCATAAAAGCAGCAAGGAAAGGATCACTATCATGTCTTGCAGTAACGCTACCGGTGAACATAAACTTAGACTTGTTGCCATTGGAAAGTAAAAAAAAAAAAAAAAAAAAAAAAAAAAAAAAAAAAAAAAAAAAAAAAAAAAAACCGAGATCTCTCAAAGGCACAAGGATAGAAAATTTGCCCGTTGATTACTTTAACAAAAAAAAAAAAAAAAAAAAAAAAAAAAGGATGGATGCACCGAAACATTTTTCAAGAATGGTTCAAAAACATCTTTGTTCTTCAAGTGCGTAAAAATCTTAAATCGAAAAACCTGCCTGAAAAAGCTGTGCTATTGATCGACAACGCACCTTCTCACCCAGCAACAAGCGTGCCAACAACAAAGTGTCTTCTGATGGAAAATATTTTTGGCAAAGTTTCTCCCCCCAAACTTTACTGCGCTAACCCAACCCATGGAACCAAAGGAGTCATTGCAACAATGAAGAGAACATACCGGAACCAAGCTACTAATGACCAAAATTGAAGAGGGTTATGATCTGAGAGAGTTTTGGAAACACTACACAATCTTGGACAGTATCTACGATATTGCATCTGCATGGGACTCAGTGAAACCGTCAACCCTCATAAAATCATGGATAAAACTCATGCCTAATGTTGAAGCCAACAACAACCTAACCCCGTTGAGCTGTGAAGAAGAGAATGAAGATGCAGACACGCCCACGGCAACTCTTGCCGATATGAAGAAAACAGTTCCAGGTGGTGAGAACGTCGATGCTGAAAACATTAACGAGTAGTTGGAGTGTAACGTCAACGAACCTGGCTTCGAACGCCTGACAGATGACGAAATTGTGAAGAAAGCAAGGGAAGAGACCGAGAATGAAGGAGAGCGAAGTGAAGGCGAAGAAGAGCCCACTGTGCAGATGCGGAAGACTCACGAAGCGGCTTTGCAACAAGTCGACGGACTGCTGAGCTATTTGGAAGAACAAGACGGCGCGGAGTTGGCCGAGAAACTTATGCTACGAAAAATGCAATCTCGGATCAAGAGAAAATGCTTCCAAAGCAAGAAGCAAACACAAATGACTGATTTCTTCTAAAAGGTGTAGTCTTACAGTTATGCTTTTGTAATTACATAATACATTACAGCATTTAAACAATATATATGTTTTAATTTTTCTGTGTACGCCTCTTGTAAGTACGCGTACCTCTTGTAAGTGTGTACGCCTCTTGTCTCTTGTTTGACGCCTCTTGTAAGTACAAAGCACTTTTCTGTTTTCATTAACAAAATACATTTTAGGCTAGTTTTGAGTGATATACTAAAATATTAAGCGTTAGTTAAACATTTCCTGCTGTTTATCTTACGTTTTATTATACATATACATTTTTCAAAGTAGGAATGACTGTTTTCCTCTTTTGCTATACCCGTTTTTAGCATTTTTCGGATTATCCACGATTTTTGTTATCCGCGTCGGCCGCGGCACCCAATTCCGCGGATAATCGGGAGTGTACTGTATATGAAAGTAATAATTTAACCTTACTTTATCAGTTTATACTCTTAGTAAATGTAATTATTTACATTTGCCAGCCATCTTAAAAAACAACATTTCCAACAAAAAATTAATCCATTATTTTTAACGATATTTATTTTTTTAAAGTTTCGAATACTTTACTATATGCGTAAAATACGTAAAAACAGCATTTTTCCAGATGGCTGACGACTGTAAAAACCGCGCCAACAATTGCGCCATTGTAAATCGCCAAAAATACGTGCAACCGGCTACCAAAGTAGCACCGGCATTCTCCACTCGACAGCATTATGCATTAAAATATTTACAAGAATTTGATTTATCTGAAAATTAATGCAGGAATTTAATTTGAATCACACAGGAGATTGTAAAAATCTACTAGAAATTGACATTCATATCGGTACGATTAAAAACTACATAAATAAATTTTTTAACTCAAACAATTTAATATGTATGTTGAATATAGGATGTACATAATTTGAATATATACTGCATATTCTTTAATGTGTTTGTTAATGTATTACATTTTTATGCACTACAAATTAAAATAAAAGTAGAGGGAAATACATTATAATTTAAAACATAAAATTAATATATACATTAGTTAAAAATTACAATTTTAAATTAAAAGTACGCACTCCTTCTTTAAATGTAAAAAAGGAAAACACCAAATATATTATTTTCACTAAAATTAAATTAAGGAATTGCTTATCTTATAGATCAACAGCCAGAAGCCTATATCATACAGATATGAAAATAAGCGAATTCTTCCTTACCTTTAATTCAGGAGTTAATGTTGTCTTTGACAGGGATGCTCCGGTAAAATATGGCCTTAATTTATTGATAAGGGACCATGCTATAATTTTGGTAAGTCGAAATTATCCAATGAAAGTAGAATCGTCAGCATGAAATGCGTTATATTTATCGGGAAACACTGAAGTTTTTTTGCAAATCTTAAGAAATTAAAATATGCATTGCGTACACTTCCAAAACTATCCGTGACCTCCGCAGTCTTTAGTTTAGCTCTAAAACGACAGTCAGAAAGCAGCTACGCAGCTGATGGAAAAAAAAATTCCGAAACGTCGATCTCTGCAAGGATCGAGACGATGACACGAGACTCGCTCTTTGTCGAGTAGATCGCAGAAAACGACTCGTTCTTTCATCTCGACGCTGTCCAAACAACAAACACACACACACAGATCGTATTTTATTCTCGAGTGTCAAGAGATGTAGAAACGTCTTTTTACTCGACTTCTGATAAGAATCAGGTAGGAGGAGAAATAGTAGTGTGGAAAGAAGTGTGGAAGGCGGAAAAAGAGAGTCAGGTCCGCGCCTGCGGCTGCGAAAAAAGGGGGGTTAGTTCAGCGTCGTTATAAGATGTAGCCGCAGGTGGTAAACCGCAGAGTCAGTTTACCGTGAATGAGTCAATTAACCCCCGAGCATTACGGCTTTTTTAGGAAAACGCATAAAAATTAATCGTGTGTACTCATCTGGTCTGCCTCAAAAAAGGCAAGTATTTTGACTCAAACTACTTCAAAAGCGGCCCCTTTTACCATGTGGATATAATTAAGCTAATTCTCCTCTCCGTTGAATTTAGCAAGCGAAATTAGTTTTTCTCTCTATTGTATCTTCGTCGCAGGATTGGTTGCTAAAAT